TTGATTTCACAGATCTTGTGCTCTGCCAGAATTCGTAAAAAACTCCATCTTTCCTAGTTGGCTTGTATTCCTGAAAAAAACGATGAGAATAAGTTGTTATAATACATCATTTAAGTCGTGCAGTATTCGGTCAAAAAAAATACTTTTTTTATAGTAGGGCCAAATAATACAAAATTGACTATTTAGATAACAATCCATCATCACGCAAGGAAAAGAAACAACTTATTTTAACAGATGAACTTGTGAAAATAAATAGCCTTGCAGTGAAATATAAGAACATTTATATGCAGTGTGTTGGCCGATGAAACCATTATTAAAGTTTGAAATCTCTGCAGGACAAGTGTATAAACAAATATGGTACACAAATTTGAGAATTTGAGATTGCAAAAACTTTAATGAAAGTCCATTCAAGAAATTACACTCAACTTATTTTTCGTAGATGTCGTGGAAGCCTTCTTCTTATAGAGTCAACAATAAAGTAGAAACAAGTGTACATTAAAGCTGGAAACCGGTTGATGAAATGTTACATGGCTCTGAATAAGCTAGATGTTAGATCTCAGAGAAGTTCACTTTCAAAAAACTATCTGGCTCTTCACAGTTTATGATATATGCAATTAAATTCAAGTTTGCATCAAAAAAGTAAAATAGCATCAACATTTGCTGGCGGAAAAATAAATTCATAACTAAATGTAGCTCAATTTATTTGATATGAATAGAATTATCGAGAAGTTCAATTTCTACTGGCTGCACAAGTCCAAATGAACTTTCCCTTTCATAATAATTAGAAACAAGTCTGCATATAAAACATATATTAAAATCATCGAAAAATACGTTGACACAATAGTTTAAGATGGACCATCTAGAGGACATTGATCGCCATTAAAGAAATAACAAAACAAACTCTATATACACAGCTGGTCGATCAACTGTCGCTATACTTCCTACTCCCAATTCAGTCCATTTTTGAATTAGATACACAAAGAATGTGAACTTTACGCAATACAGTAAATCTGAAAGTGAGAAGACAATCGCACCATATCAGAAAAGGCATTATAACTTATTTCCAAAGGTGTCCCATTGAAGTAAAATTTTAGGAGTTTATGTGCAACCAAACTCTAAATAAGAAATAAAATATGCGTAGGCAGACTCTAAAGTTGGGGTGGAATATGCTTACTTGAACAAAGGAGCAATCCATTAATTTCTCTGCATCTTTTAAGCACAAAAACATCTTCACAAATATACCTTCTTATCTGAAAATTCAATAAGTTGTAGAAGAAATTAAGATGATGAAGTACAGAAGCGAAAAATTAACATTAAGAATGACGACATTCAATAATTTTTAACCAAACTTGTAAAAGATAAAGACATCTGTGAGAAGGCAAGCAATGAGGGTTCAAGCAAAATGTGTTTTCTTCATTCTTCTTGTGAGGCTCATGGACCAAACAAGAATTGAAAAAAACTTTTCACTTAGCATAACTTGAAGAACCGAGGAATTGCAATAAAACGCACCTGAGAAAACCCCCAAAAAAATATATCAAATTATTAAAACTAAGAAAGAAAAAAAAAAAAAAA